GCTTGAATAAAGGCGAAATCGTTTTCCAATGCTTTCCGTCCCGGTTTGTTCATTAAAAACCTATTTGGTTTCAAGGGCGTGCGCTGATGACGGAGCCGAATTCGTCGGTCGCGCCCAGAACGCAACTTGAGAATCGCTACGGTTTTATGGGCGCAAGAGCAAAATTTGTCCTCATACCCGCGGACAGATATCTCGGTTTACGAGTAATAACATTAGTAATATAACTGTCATTAGATTCTTTCTGATGATTTTTTGTATGGTTATAACTTCCGGGGATCAGTGTAAATATTTGCTCAGGGATGACCTATAAGGGCGTATTAGGCAGTTACACAAGCGTTTTCGGTCATCTACGCAAGGATAAATGTTGTTACCAATGAGAGGATGTTGGGTTTACGAAAGTACCCATCCCCGCTCAAGCGCGAGGCTTGAAAAGCTAGTGCAGGGTCGCTATAGATACTTCGGCTTTGGATACTACCGTAACTTCAGGGTTTGACGTTGAATATTGGAATTTGATGTTTTGAGTATAGCAAACTCTTCCGAAGTCTATTTTAGCACTGGACGCGAGTAAAACTTTCGTAAGGAAAGTTTTGGCGACAAAATCTGCAGACAACGGTTTATACAGTGATCAAGACACATTACACCAAAAAGCTGACCATTCTCGCAATTTTGACACCTAAAGAATTCAACGCCATTCATAACAGGCAAATTCACCGATTCAGAGAAGTTGATTACCTGCTGGAGATTTTTCTGACAACATATCCTTGGTCTTTAAAAACTCCCCGACATTTCCTTGTTTTAATTTCGGATAGTTGGCAGCCCTGAAAATCTCTATGCCCAACAACGTCACAATCGCGTCCACAAAGGAGTGTTTGTTTACCTACGGCTTTGACACCTCCATAATGAGTTGGAGCCGAGGCCATAGTAAGGTGCTCTACTACGCTGAAAACTCAGTTTGACACATTTCGACGTTATGCCGACAAAATCACCATTTTGAAATTTGACAGTGAGCCCTACCGCTTACACACTCCAGGCTTCCCATGAATAAAAATAGTGCATTTAGTGCGCGGATAACTTCTGAACCTTCAAAACCTTCAGCTTCCCTAGATTACATTGCTTAGGTCACAGATGCCCCAGAATTTGGAAAATTAAATTCCCTGACACATTTTGGTGAGATTCCCTGACCAACAAATGTCAGATTGTTAAAAAGACTTAGGTAGGTAGAAATGGTTATTAGGACCTTTTTTTTTGGTCCGAAACGTCATTCCCACCTGAGAAAGCAAATACAGGTGACTTGACGATTTTCCCCTGACATTTCTCGGTTTTCCCTGACCGCGACAACCCTGCAGGTTGTTAGCGCGGGGTCTCCAGATAATATTTTCTCTGATCCTCGCAAAGAGATGAATCTCGAGCGACGTGGCAAGGCTTTGAAAGCGCCATGACATTCGTTCAAAAGCGAGGGACTGGGAGCAACCGGAGCATTACGATCAAAATCGGAGGTTTCCGAGTAGGAAGTGCGGTGCGCGTCGAGCTAAGGTTAGGTTCCCTGACGACATGGTCAATTCGATTCCATCAAGGTGCGGAGCTCGGCTCCTCGACTCGACTGCCTGCTAGCCTCCCTCGTGCCCTCCAACCGGAGAGCCTCCTTCGTCAGAACCGCTCAAGTCCCATGCCAACTCCGCCGTGCTAAGAAAGAACGCCGTATCAACATTCGAGAGTTGCCAATTGGACTGCATTTTGCGATTTGGACCTGTAAATTCTGGCTCATCTGGAAAAACACTTATGTGCATAGGGAAACTAATGGCACATACGTTGTTTTTCAACCGGGCCAGAATTTATAGTTCCAAATTGTAAACGTAGTCAAAACGTAGTCAAAACGTAAACAAAATGTAGTCCAATTTTCCCTTGATAAAACATGTATTTTTTACGACATTCGTGTACATTTTTCTTCGAAGTTTTCCGATATTGTAGATTAAATTTCAAACAAAATTGTCTGGAAAATTTTGGGGGGAAATATTCACAATTTTCCCAGTAAATTCAGCTTTTATCGAAGGAAACTTGGCAAATTCTGAAGGCTCATACGGCGTTCTTCCTTAGCTCGGAAGAACTATTCCAGAACTAGAGTACGCGGTCTTTCGTACAGAATCATCGTCCAACGTACTGTAGTGAAGTACGGAGCCACGTGTCTCCATTGCGGTGTTCCAAAATTTCTGCTCCTACTTTATTCTTTCGGAGAGGAAGAAGTTAACCTTGCAGCTTGAAATTTCTAAAGTATATTCTGCTAATAGAGAGGAAAAATCGAGGAAATTTTCAAGACTCTGAGTTGACTGGTTTTCGAATGAAAAAATGAAGTATGACAGGAAGTCTGCAACGCCGCAAACGGAGGTGCGTGGTTTCGCACTATTGCCATAGGTTCTGCCAAATCAAACATGGTTGGATGATGGCGATAAATTGTCGAAAAAACGAAACGAAACGTGTAAACCTACATTAAAAACCGATCAAAACACGTGAAATTTATGCGTTCGAAAATAGTCAAAAACAGGAAGTAAAAATTGTGACATTATCAGATGCAACGAGTGGAAGTAGCTTCCTAAACTGGATCAGCTTTTTGGAAAGAATGCGCCCCAGTTATTGAAAAGAGGACGAATCTTATAAATATTGAATTTTTTCTCTTTTTTTTTGTAAGCAGAAATTCATGGGGTAGGTGTGGAGAAAGAGAATTAAAAAGAGCATTTGAAATGTATGCGGACGACCTTGATTACACGTTTCATAAAAGAAAAAAGTATCATAGCAGCATTGAAATGAACGAGGTATTAACAGAAAATGCTTACAGGCAGGAGAGTAAATGCACATTGAGGCAACCTTGAATAGTTCATGAACAGTAGACAGATAATAAGAATCTTAATCTGGTTTGACAAGTGAGCAAGATATAAATCATGACCTGATTAAGTGATTTTTCAACTCAAAATCATAAATGAAGGCTACCATTACATAGAACTCAATATTCTCTGGCCTTATCCAGTCTATCTTCTTTCAGACTATACCTAAAATCAATGAAGAAAGATCGATAAAGCAAATCCCAGCTTGTTGATGTAATACTCATCCCTTTTCCGGCCCGATGAAAAATGAAGTAAAAAGAGCTTTTGCCTTTGAATCAGAGAGCTAAGGGTACAGGCGATACATTTTTAAGTTTCCTGATTCTCGTAGTTATCATTTCAACTCCAGCGCTTCGACCTTCCTTCACTACAATTTGATGTGGGCAAAGATGCACACCTCTTGTTTTCCACTTCGGAACTTGGAGGTTCGAAGGTTCTCTGATGCTTACTATTAACAATTCACGAAAATAATCCAACAGTCCATGGATAATTGAAAGCTGAAATGAGGCATTAAAGACCTGTTTTTAATGCAGCATACGTAGGAAAACCTCTACTTCAATGCCAAGGTTAAACAGAAGAGCTTGAAGGTGAACACATGGAGGGAGTTGTCAAACCTCAGGTAAATCAAAAAGTATTATTTTCCCCTGTGCCGAGACTAGACACAGTTAGATAGAGAATCCTCGACTTTACCTCCTGAACTAAAACTTTAAAATTGGAATATACTTTTCAAATTTTGAAAGCACCACGTTTCACAACACCCATCACACACACTGACTCATTACGGGCAACCTTGCTAAACACGTGATTCGATTGGGGTAAAAAAAGGGATTTCCACAATTCTAATGCGCTCCTCTTTGCGATACATGTAAGTATATTCGATATTCAAAGGGTTTCCCTGTCATTAGGAAAGACAAATTGCAGTGGATGATGGCACATTGGTGCATCAATGGAAATGCTGAGTGATTTTGGAGCATTCATACAGCTCAATGCATTGTGCATTTGTGGGTACTGTCTGAACACCTGTTAGCGCAAAATATGGATTTGTAACATTCATATGTACACACAATTAGAACTGTCAGTACTAATTAAATACTTCTGGTGGAGGTATTCCAATTATTAGATAACTACAGAGACCACGTGTAATTTTTTGGCTGATTTTTTCCAACTTTTATTAAGGAAACAACAAGAAGTGAGCATGCGAAGATGACCATCACTGAGTAGCCATTTCCTTTGATTATTTGACTCATGACCGAGAAACCAGGCGTTTTGAAGGTAGTGTATGTAAGGATTCGTGTGAAATAATTAACTGAGCTGTTCGGTAATTCAAAAAAACGTGTTTCTAAAGAAAGCACAGTGGTGAAAGCTTTCAGGTTCTTCAAAATCCAGCAAAAACACACTTTAAAAAAGCCATGAGAAGCTGCTCTATAGCATAACACATGCTCAGGCATGACAGTTCCACAGGACATACATTCATGAGAGATATATTGGGTGCAATAACATGAACATACAATGACAGTTCTCAAATTCATCCTGCTCCAGGAATCATTTTTTTTTTCAGACACAGAGAGCAGGGCCGGGCCGGGCCGGATCGTTAATCGTGGTTGGAGCCCCCCCCCCCCCCCCCCCCCCCCNCCCTTTCCCCATGGGACTCTTAAGGCGATTATTATTTTCAATTGATATATTCATTTTTTTATCTCTGCGAGTGGTCCAGTGATATCTTTTGGGAGCCTCTGGAGTCTGGGAGATTTTGGAGGCTTGGAGAACTGAGACGGGGATTTCGGGGGTCGTGGGGCCCGTAAGTTTTATTTACCCGTAAAATCAGAGTAGGGGATAACCTGACCCTCAATTTCCGATAGACTTCAGGAATTATGGCAGGTACAGCCCATAAAAACTACAACTTTCTTTACATGAGCCCCAATCTTTCTGAGTTAGTAATTTTTGATCTCCTGAGACCAAAATGACGGCACGTGGGATCCTTAAATTACTTGAGAACGTGAACCGCCCTCATTTTACGAAGTATACAGCCCGCTAAGTGCGGGCCCGTCTACCCGCGTGTACCCCCGGTCCCTGAGCGCCGAACCGGCATTTCTGGGAAGTAATGCAAGCTGGAGTTTAATTGAAACATACCTGGCTAGAGCCATTTTATTCCTAAAACATGAATGAAGCTGCTGCAGTAGTAAAGAGTTACTCCTTAGGTTATCCACAATGAAAACTTTAATTACACGGTTGAGACGAAAATATATCCACACTGTGTTCACTCGAGTCAAAGGCCAACTTCAGTGTAGGGCAAAATCCATTATTCACACTGTGGTAGGGTGCACGAGAGAAGAACCAAATGGGGGAATTCCGGGACTTTCGACCACGAACTTATCACAGAAAACTTCAAGCGCTTGTCCTTGGACACAGACAACTGATATGAAGTGGAGAGAAACTGTAACACATTTTCGGAGGTTAGAGCTCCAGTTGAAGATGTAGAATCACACGTTTCGGATAGGAAACCGATCAAAACACACGCAATAGAAGGCGACCGGCTGGCTCTGTGAAGAATCACGGTTTTCGTTCACTGAGAGCCGAATTTCGGGGCACGGAAGAGAGGAGAGAAGCAAGCACAAGACGGAACGCGCGACGGAGGTGACTCGGGGACCAGCCCAAAAAACCGACTGAGAGCGAGCTAGACGGAGACACGTTGCGGAACCGAACGCGGTGCTGCGCTGCTGCTGGCATTGAAGAGCATGGTCATAATGAGCCCAGTGCGCAGGGTCTACGCGCAGCTCATCTTGAAATCCGCATTGCCACGTTACCACCTTAATGGACCACTAGACAAGGTATGAATTTAAGCGATTTGATACATGTTTCTTAACCAGAATTTCGCGTAGAATACGATTAGCGCAACGAATATTACTGAAACTAACTCCTAACGAAGATATCAACGTTTTTATTTTACATTGGTTACAAGGAATTTGAACTGCCCGCTCACAAGAAACTCAAAGCTCTACGAGAGTCAAATCGCCCACTACAACGGTTTCGGCAAGCTTCTCAACCGAGCAATGTTCATTTCCCACCATATGTTTGAATTAGAAATTTGGTATAGCTGAGCCGAAGCGTCAAGATTGACGTTGCCAGATTTTTAAATCGCAGATACTGTCATGATAACGTTTAGCGCGCGATGTGAATCACGTAGAGTATTGAGTTTTCATGAGCGGGTGGTTTAAATTTACGCATCAAGAATCATTAAATATCTCCGTAAGGAGTCCATTTCGTTAATTTCCGTCGTGCGCATCGTGTTCTACGTGAAATTTTAGTTAAGAAACATGTATCAGAGTGCTGAAATTCGTACTTTGTCTAGTGGTCTATTCTCCTCATTTCTACGCACGAATGGAAGTTCATCCTGCGAAAAATTAGTTCAATTCCTCTTTCTCGCAGAGCGATGGACGATACCTATGTGAAAACGATTGTACCCGCCCTACAAAATCATATTCTCAAGAAAATTGCAATTTTCAAATTTTAAAAAAAGAAAGAAAGGGGGAAAAAACCAACCCCTGCAGCACATATTCAAAATTAATGCCACGGTTTTAAGTTTAATCCAATTTCAAAATTTCCTGACTTTCTGAAAAAATTCCATGACTACTGGCACTAAAATTTCCAGGCATTTCCCCGACTTCTTATTAGAAAAAAAGTAAAAAATAATTTTGAAAACAGCGATGCACTTCATGAAGCACCGCAATTGTATGTAACTTGCAAAGAACCCTAAGATTTCTCAGATTTAAGGAAGGCCTGATGAGCCCTTAAATATATCATCATAAAGAGGACAATTTTCTGTTGTCAAACTGGGAACAGGGTGTGTGATAAGAGAGAAGTCCTAGGGGAGAATGAGCTCATTCTGGGACATAAGATGGTATTTTAACACGTTTCAATTATATAACTACATGCGTATAGTGACTAGCTACTCTATTCGTCTTTATAACTAAGGACGGTGGAGCTAAGCTGGGTTACGTTGGGTTGAGCAACTAAACTAACTTTGGAGTAGTGCGAGGAGTATCGCGTAGCATTGAAGGCACGAAGCTGGGTTACGTTGGGTTAAGCAACTAAACTAACTTTGGAGTAGTGCAAGGAGTATCGCGTAGCATTGAAGGCACGAAGCTAGGTCACGTTGGGTTAAGCAACTAAACTAACTTTTGAGTAGTGCGAGGAGTATCGCGTAGCATTGAAGGCACGATCGGGTGAGTCCTAGCAAATCATTCTTACCGCTCTTGCTAAAGTTCTTCAGAAGTCAATATGAGGGTAAGATTCCTCTTGACAGGATGAGCACGGAATGTATGGTTATATAGAGGAAACTAACATGAGATAATATTACAACACGTTTCAATTGTGTATTTAAGTGAATATTGTGACTTGCTACAGAATACGTCTTCAAAACTGAGGACGGTAGAAGTAAGTTGGGTTAAGCAACTAAACTAACTTTGGAGTAGTGCGTGGGGTATTGCATGGCAATGAAGGCGAAATCGGTTGACACCTATATAGCAAATCATTCTTACCGCTGTTTTTCTCGTAAGTGCTTCAACAGTCAAACAGACGATGATAATATTGCTCTTATTAAATGAGCACCGAATGAATGATTATAAAGAAGAAACTATAGGAGAGAATGTGCTGACTGTGTGCATAAGTTATTACTTTTAATTGTATAAATTATGAGTATATTTTGACTTGCTACTAGATCAGGAGCAGGGCGGCAAAATTTGTCCGATTATGCGATCCGCGGATTTCGTGATCGGTGGCGAAATTTAGGGAAAGTTTTTTTCCAAAATAACTACAAAAATAATTTCCGGAAACAATTTCGAACATACCGATCTCCTCGACTTTTCAGGAGACGAAGGGAAAAAAGGAAAGAAAGAGAAAAGAAAGGGTCATCACTTGGAAAAATTTGGGAAAGTGACGAGATACTTCGAAAGTGAGAGAGGAAAAAATCCCGGATCGCGTGAAACGTTCAGCCGAATACTACTTCTCGCACCTCTGAGCCTCAATATGTCTTCAAAACCACGAACGGTCGAACTAAGTTGGGTTAAGCAACTAAACTAACTTTAAGAGTAGTGCGTGGAGTATCGCGTGACAATGAAGGCGCGATCGATTGAGTCCTTGGCATCTCATTCTCACCGCTCTTTCTTAAGTTTTTCAATGATCAATTTGTAGGTAAGAGGAATGTTGCTGCGTATGAGCAAAATAGGGGGCGCTTTGCGCACTCTAGGGCCCGCTTCATGTTCCCCATACTACTCATCGCACCTCTGAGCCTCAATATGTCTTCAAAACCACGAACGGTCGAACTAAGTTGGGTTAAGCAACTAAACTAACTTTGGAGTAGTGCGTGGAGTACTGCGTGGCAATGAAGGCGCGATCGATTGAGTCCTTGCCATCTCATTCTCACCGCTCTTTCTTATGTTTTTCAATGATCAATTTGTAGGTAAGAGGAATTTTGCTGCCTATGAGCAAAATAGGGGGCGCTTTGCGCACTCTAGGGCCCGCTTCATGTTCCCCATACTACTCATCGCACCTCTGAGCCTCAATATGTCTTCAAAACCACGAACGGTCGAACTAAGTTGGGTTAAGCAACTAAACTAACTTTGGAGTAGTACGTGGAGTTACGCGTGGCAATGAAGGCGCGATCGATTGAGTGCTTGGCATCTCATTCTCACCGCTCTTTCTTAAGTTCTTAAATGGTCAATTTGTAGGTGAGAGGAATGTTGCTGCCTATGAGAAAACTAGGGCCCGCTTCATGTTCCCCCATGAGTGAATCGAAATTAAGCAGCTCATCTCGGGATTATCTATTAATTACTGCAGAGACCATGAGAATTTGCCGGGACTATCATATCTTTATAGAACGAACTATGATTAAAATAAAATTTAGCTTAAAAAAGTGACCAGCAATGTAATTATCACTTCAACGCTGTGACAAGAATGTCGCTGCAACGCAAAACTGAAGCTATCACAGGCAGTGATACTGCAACACAATGCTTCCAGAAGGCATCATGAAATTCTTGAACCGTGCAATATGCAATTCGTCCACTGCGAATCTTGTTTGAGTAAGCTATGCATTGTTCAACGTCAAACTCGATTCGAAGACATGAAATTAGTCCGGTCTGCGAGTTGGTCGCAGGAGTTCCATGCCAGAGTCGTTTGGAAATACTAAGCAGGCACGGCGATTGATGCATACCATACACACATATTGTACATATTTGCGATCGTGTTTCTGCCAGAGTGACATCACTCCGATGATTTGTGACGATTCGGGTGACGCGAAACTTTTCGAGTGCCTATGCGACTCGCAATCGTAACTGATACTCGTTTCGCACCAAACAATCGTCCCGCAAAACGACTCCATTTTTCTGGTGCATAAAATTCTTCGATGCAACTGAGACCACGTATGTCTCATTAAAACGACAATTTTGCGGCTCGCTCGTGCATCTTTTCTGCACCGAACGAGATGATTGAAAGGCCATACAGTGTTGCCGCGCCGTCTTGAGCTCCGATACTTTACGCTTGTACGAGGGAGCAGCGCCCGTGGACTGTTTAAAAATTCAGAAAATGTCTTGCATAAATGGGCATCGTCGAGTTCTCCATTAAATTCCGCACTGGCCGTGTGCCTTTAGACTGAGAAAATTCTTGGCAGCGTTTTCTCCCTCGCGAAAATTCTCGACCGACTCGATGCACTTTTTTGCGAATTCCGTCTTTCTTGTCATACTCTGTGTGTGTCCAGCAAGAAATGACTCTCACCAACACGCTGAGAGGAAAAATAACCCAAAACTTTGGTTACTATGGGAGGTGGAACACAAAGTAACTTAAACCTTCGGTTGAAACTGGGGTTTCTTGGTTTTTCCATTGTTTTGTGTGCTGGATGAACACAAAATTAGGGTTAGTATGATGTTTTTCACTTCCTATATTAACCGAAAATCACACAAGAACACGAATATTTTTCTCAGTGCGGATGATTTTACTACCAGTCTGACATTGGAACATCTGAGCTGCAACTAGGCTCATCTACAAAAAAGTGGGTATTAGCCAAGCTTTTCAAAGCATTTAATCTTGTGACAGTTCACGCAAAGAAGTTGGTACTGAGTGAGAATGATATTCAATCCTCCCCTTCTTTACGATTATTGCCAATGTTTCAAAGGAGCGATAAATGCTAAAGAAGAAAAAAGTTATTTCAAGAAATCTTCACAGGTCTGCCCGACGTTCTCGCTGCTTCCAAACGAATATTAAAACATGTTATCCATGACTAAATTCTGGGTTGTTTTCATCACGTTATAATCATGAATCTACAATTCACGTGCTAGTCATTTTTACCCAAGAACATTTAGTATTAGTTTATCTTTGAAGTTGCAGTAATGAGGAAAAAACTAAGAACCCCGCACATTTAACAAGATTCCGAGTATTTTCTCGAATTATCCAAAACTTAGAGAGAAATTTGAAATCCTCCAATTTTCGTAATCCTTCCTGAGAAATACCCTAAATGTTCCAGGACTCCACCACACTTTGAAATTTTCGAATCTTCCGATTTTTTAAGATTCTTACGTCGATAGTACGACTATAGACAGAATATTTGAAATTTGAACTGAAAAGTTTTTCAACTCGATTAACAGTCACCAAATTCGACCGAAAAGGAAAATTATCGTTTCATTTCGAGTGATCCATTGTC